CAATAGTGTGGTCGACAACACGTTGTTTTGGTTTCATTTAAAGTTTAAATCGAAATCAAGTGTTAATCGAAATGACGAAAGGATTTCACAGTAAGTGTTGTCTTCATTGTCTCCATTGTCTCAGTTGTGGTCATGTCTTGTCATTCACTTTACAGAGAAGTCAAGTAAACGCGTTTCAGCCAAACGGCGGTATAATATCGAGAAGAAAGTGAGACAACACAACAAGAAACTCAAGAGAGAGCTCAAGAAGAAGTCCAACACTCATAAAGCGAAAGATCCCGGAATTCCCAACTCTTTGCCATTCAAAGAGCAGATCATTAAAGAAGCGCAAGAAGACAAACGACGAGATGAAGAGCGCAAACAATTGGTCAGAGATTTACAAAAAGACAAACGCAAACAACAACGAGACCAACAGTTGCTGAAGAAGAGAGGTCTCCAAGAGTTGACCTCTGATGCAGAGCTTAGAGGCGAGCAGTTTGAGGCCAAAGAGCGCGCTGTCGACCAATTAGTGGCCAACAGTTCCGAAAAGAGTTCGAATTTGAAGTCTCATTACAAAGAGTTCCATAAAGTGATCGAAGCGTCAGACGTTGTGATCCAAGTGTTGGACTCTCGCGACCCGATTGGCAGTCGTTGTCCTCAAGTGGAAGAAGAGGTGATCAAAAGCGGTGCAAACAAACGGCTCATTCTTTTGTTGAATAAAGTGGATTTGATTCCAAGAGAAAACCTTAAGAAATGGCTGCGATATCTTCGCAACGAATGGCCGACCGTTGCGTTCAAGGCGTGCACTCAGAAGCAAAAGTCCAATTTGAGCCGAAGTAAAGTGAATGTCTTGCTCTCAAACGACGAGTTGTTGTCTTCGAGTGTAGAGATGAAGAGCGCAAACAATTGGTCAGAGATTTACAAAAAGACAAACGCAAACAACAACGAGACCAACAGTTGCTGAAGAAGAGAGGTCTCCAAGAGTTGACCTCTGATGCAGAGCTTAGAGGCGAACAGTTTGAGACCAAAGAGCGCGCTGTCGACCAATTAGTGGCCAACAGTTCCGAAAAGAGTTCGAATTTGAGGTCTCATTACAAAGAGTTCCGTAAAGTGATCGAAGCGTCAGATGTTGTGATCCAAGTGTTGGACTCTCGCGACCCGATTGGCAGTCGTTGTCCTCAAGTGGAGGAAGAGGTGATCAAAAGCGGTGCAAACAAACGGCTCATTCTTCTGTTGAATAAAGTGGATTTGATTCCAAGAGAGAACCTTAAGAAATGGTTGCGATATCTTCGCAACGAATGGCCGACCGTTGCGTTCAAGGCGTGCACTCAGAAGCAAAAGTCCAATTTGAGCCGAAGTAAAGTGAATGTCTTGCTCTCAAACGACGAGTTGTTGTCTTCGAGTGTGTGTTTGGGAGCAGATATTCTCATGAAGTTATTGAGTAATTATTGTCGCAATAAAGACATTAAGACTTCAATCACTGTCGGAATCGTTGGCTTTCCAAATGTGGGCAAATCGAGTGTCATTAACAGTTTGAAACGATGTCACGCCTGCAGTGTTGGGTAAGCTTTGAAGTGTTTTTGCAAACCACTAATTGATTGCAATCTGCAGACCGATTCCAGGACTCACCAAATCAATGCAATTGGTTTCCCTCGACAAACGCATCAAACTGTTGGACAGTCCGGGAATCATATTCGCCCAAAACACTCACTCCGAGTCCAACACTGCATCGCTTATGGCTCTGAGAAATGCCGTCAAAATAGACTCGTTGTCGGACCCGACGGCTGCGGTCGACGCGCTTCTAAATCGCGTCAATCGCCAGGACTTGACTCTATTCTATCGAATGCCGGCTTTCAGAGACGTGACCGAATTTTTGGCGCTTTTGGCCAAACGTTTTGGGAAACTGAAGAAAGGAGGCATTCTTGACGTCGAGAACGCCGCTAAGAAAGTGCTCAACGACTGGAATGTCGGCAAAATCAAGTATTTTACAGTTCCTCCCGAAACACAAACACTTCCTTTCCATATCAGCGCTCAAATTGTTCAACAAATGAGTCAAGAATTTGATTTGAATGAACGTATATTCGATGAAGAGATGAACGAAATCAATAAAACGATTCCCAAAAACTTGGAAGAAAACGAAGCGCTGGTTATGAACTCTTTTGGCTTCACTTGCGCTCAAATGAACGCAAATGATGGCAGCAATGAAGACGCGGAAGAAATGGAAGAATCTGGCAATGATTGTGATTCTGTCACTTTGGGTCAGACAAGCATTTTGCTCAGCGCTCCCAAAGGCGACAAAGTGTGCGAAGACTCGGAAATGAAAGAATTGGATGTTTTGAAAGGAATGCAATTAAATAAAGCCAAAAAAGTTATGTTTAAGAAAATG